AGGAGGTGGGTTGATGCAGAGATCCGCAAAAGTTTCAGATCTTTAGAAAGTAACAACTATGCTTTTGTTGCAGTTAAACGTATCCACATTTTCACGGACACAATCGAATAGGCTACGTTTTAAAAGTAATACAAAGATAGTTTTTTTACGAATTTGACTTTAATGATACAGGCATTTTAGCCTTGATGATAATTTTGTTTATTTAGAGAACATAAACAATAAAAGAGAAAAAAAGTGTAATAAAAATACAAAACACACACTACAATAAAACTGCAGTAATAAAAAGGTTATAAATAATTATAATAGATATTTAAAATAAAACTGTAAAACTTGCACATAGGCTACTTTAGGATACATGTTTTGTCCCGCGGAATTTCAATTTATTATTATGCATCCAACTGTAATTTAGACTTTCCGAAATTAATTTATTAACCAACATTGAAAGGATTAGACAGATTGCTTTTTAAAGTTAAGTTTCTGATTTATAATCTACGACTAGACTTTTGGCGCTTTTGTGAAGGGGTAAAACTGTTTGAACAGATGAGGGGGCGGGGTGAGCAATGAAAGAATCTTATCTGCCGTCGAATAATAGTATGTTGCAACACCTTCAGCATCAGTTTTCTCTCGAAAACCTAAATGTAAATAGGTTACTATATTAAAACCTATATTAAGTGACCACTATTTTGAATATTGATTCAAATGTGACCCCCTTTCTGGCATCAAAACTCTTAAAAGCCAAATGGATTTGCTTGATTTAGCTTATAGTCTGGTCTGAACACCATATAGCTGAGGAATGGAATTTTAATTCAAATTGAAACTGTATTCATATAGAAATAGCTAATTGTATTTTAATTAGTGCTGTCAAGCGATTAATCGCAATTAATCGCATATAATATGCGATTAAAAAATATATTTAATATATAAATATAACATATTTGTCTTAAATATATACATGCATGTGTGTGTATTTATATATACATAATAAATATACCCAGTACACACATATATTGTGTAAACAAAAACGTATTTTGAATGCGATTAATTGCGATTAATCGTTTGACAGCACTAATTTTAATTATCTATATGACATCCATTTAGAGGGATGGGTTAGTGAATGTAGTGCACAATTCACAATAAAAATAAAGTTTGAAGGGAAAGTTATACGTTACATTGTGATGGGTTCTAAAGTGGCTGGTGGTGATGCTTTTAACTGTTTAAAAATCTTCATGCATGAAAATGCATTCGTTTTTTTAATTCATTCATTTATCTGCTACTTCTATTTAGTGTACATAAATGTAAATGGGGGGAAGTAAGCCTTTGTTTTTCATTTTAAAGGCAGAAGGAAGTTGTAAAATGTGTTAATTTTAATGTTTTCATTTAACCATTTTACATTTATTCATATATCTCAATTTTACATTTACATTTACCTTTAGTCATGTTGCAGACACTTTTATCCAAAGCGACTTACAATTGGGGAATACATAAAGTGATTCTACTTAAAGAGGCAAACTGACACAGGAAGTGCTTGTAATACCAAGTTTTAGGCATTGTTCAAATAAGTACAAGCTAGAAAGGGAAGGAATAAAGGAATAAGGGAAGGAATTTTATTTATTTTGTATTTATTCTAGTGTACACCCTGGCTGTATTCATTTAAATCTTTAAGAAAAAAATAAAATAAAAAAGGAAATTGGATGCTATTTAAATGAGACTGCGTTTAGATTAAAATAAATATGATTAACAGAGAAAAAAAGTGTAAATTGGTGCACGTCATGAAAACATGTTTCCATTAGGGGGCGTCCATGCACAGTCCGTTATATCTACAAGAAGTTGTGCAGCTTTTCTGTGCCTGAATGCAAGTTAAGTTTCTCTGCATACTTTCCATTGTCTCAGCACACTTCATTACACACTGTTGCTTTAGGTGCAGAAAAAAAGCACAATTATTTGCTTTTTGCATATGAAGCACCATACTTTCAAAATGTTTTTTTAAATGCTTTTTTTAATGCTCACTGTTTGATCTCTTGCTCATGTACATATGTGCCCTCTCACGTTCCCCCCTCCTTCCTCCCCTGTGTACTATGTACACTCCCCCTCCCTCTTGCCAACTCTAACTCTCCATTCTCTCTTGCACATGCAACCACAGGAGCGCACGGATCACACCAACGCCACAGAACCATGTCGGACTCAGAGACTGCAGCTCCTGCCAAGACCCCTGTCCCAGCACCCTGTGTGGCCATCAAGGCAGATCTAGACAAATGGTAAGTGACTGGAGTAGCAGTCATGTATGGTCCATAATACCGGTCTGTTGCAACTCTGTATGGACCGAATTAAAATCTGTTAAATTCTCATACTCTAAAATGTGGATTTATTTCCACATAGATTTATTTTAGTTCTTAATTAGTTAAGGTTGGTGATATTCAATAGAATTATGATACGCAGCGTAAATACTGCATCGTGATGGCGATCCAAAATGGAGGGAAGAAAGGACCTTGCGCCGAATATGAGGTGGAAGGTTCGTGCAGAGGGATACGGTGTTTTTAATAACTTAATTAAGTTTAGTGAGTTTTTTTAAATGGTTTGATTGGTGTCAGTTTGATGCGAGTTGGCAGCAGCAGTGGGGCCACTCATTAAGAGCATTCTGGGGTTTTTCTTCAACTTCAGTTCTTCCTCACGGCTGATTGGCTGTTGGGAATGTGTCTACGTCATGCTTTTCCTCTCGCTCGTCCTGCCATCCCTGATTTCCTCTCTCAATCTTCACCATTTCTGTCTCTGCAGCCTCCTGTTGGGAATGTGTCTACGTCATGCTTTTCCTCTCGCTCGTCCTTCCATCCCTGATTTCCTCTCTCAATCTTCACCATTTCTGTCTCTGCAGCCTCCGTGGCCTCGCTTTGTCATGTTTGAGTTTGACCACTTAAATGAGAGGGAATCACTGATGTTTACGGGTGAACCTTTTCTCCGGTTTTCCCTGCCCTCCCACTAATGGGTTTTGCTGGTTTTATATCCTGCAAATGAAGGAGATTGTGACCAGTGGCCAGTGATGAACATTCGTTCAGTATGCATATGCTGTCCTTCCTCCTATGTAGGGTTTCATTGTGTTCCCTCTCTCTTGACCATTGACACCAGCCATTGCTCAAGCTGTATTTTGACCCTAATCCCCACACCCACCCAAAAAAAATGTAGACTGGCTGCTTTTGGTGTTTGTAGTGTCGACAGGCCTGGACAGCATGAGAAAGGAGATAAGGTTGCACATACGCTGACCTTTGGTGTGCAAGGACCAGATAGGGGAAGGGTGTGTGGGGGTAAGAATTTGCTTGAATAATGTGTCACTGTTTCATCTGAAGCACTGGCCATCACAGTCACCTTCATTTACAGCAGTGCTTCTCAACTCCAGTCTTTGAGACCCACCTCCCAAGATATTTCAGATGTCTCCCTGTTCAACACACCAAAAAGCTGATGAGATGAATCAGGTGTTTTAATTAGAGAGACCTCTAAAACATTCTGGTAGGTGGGACACTGCTTTAGCGGATATAAAACCAACAAAGTCCACTGTAATCCAAAATGGATTTGAGGGAGGGCAGTGAAAAATGGCGAAAAGGTGCATCTGTAAGCGTTAATAGTTTTTCTCTCACATGAGCAGTCACCGCTCAAAATGATAAAGTGAGGCTGGGACGAGACTGTTGGGAGAATGGCAGAACTGTTAACAGTTAAAACGCTATTAGCAGGTCAGTTTGTCATTGACCTTTCTGTGACCATTTTGACCAGCAACTTGCATGTGTTGCTGACTAGCTGAATGTTTAACCTTACAGAAGGTGACCTTAAATAATGTACACCACACTAGTATTTATAGTGCCCTCGTACATGGTAATGCATAGATGTGTGTATGTGTCTGTCATCCATTAAGTGTGACATGTACTATTCACTGGATCACTTTACACCTAGTCTAAGCATGTCACAGTGGCCATCTTGTCTGTTTTTTTGTCATGCTAGTCCACAAAGGGGATTCATCATGGGCTTTAAACCCAGAAGAGGATTAATGTTACAGGTTTAACCCCAGAAGCTAGCAGTTATTCACTGGGAGAATGCATCTGGCTGCTTGTCGTGGAACAGTGTAAAATTTGTGAATTTGTGACCTTGAGATGTTCTCCATTTTGTACGGTTTCAAAGTCTGTGACTAAACATCAGCCTCTGAGTTAACGTACAGCCATTGTGTCCTATAGGGTGTCCTTTCAAGAATGTTAATGCAAATCACAAGTTAATCGTTTACACTTTAAGCTGATTTTTTCCCTCTCATTTGTGTTAGCATGCCTGCTCTTGTAGCGGTTGGAATGTATTGTTCTAGTTTTGTAGAAGCCCCCCTCAGGGTAAACAGTGTTACTTAATCTATCAATAAACAAAAGCATCTGCTTTATCAGCATAGGATAGCTTTGTTATAGGAGCTCCATGTGGAAATAAATCAATTCCATATGGATTCGGTATTTATTAGATTCCAATTTAATTATTATTTGGGTCAAGTAAAATTATTTCCTGTTTGTTGTGTTTAAGATCAGAGCACTCCTGAGCCGTGCCCTTTTTCCTTTTGCATTATATATGTGGAGGACTGGCCATCATGTGAATTATTCAGTCTTAATTTAGGGAAGGTGATCATCCCCTTCCCATTTGTCTGATGCTTATTGGTATCATTCTAATTTTACACCTCCAAGACTGACAGATTTCAATATTTGACTGCCAAATAAATATGGTTCGTGTAATGCACATCTGTAGCACATTTTAAGATCAATTTATCTATAGTTCAAGCCAAAAATGAAAATTCTGTCATCATTTACTCACACTCATGTCATTACAAACCATTTCTTCTGCAGAGCACAAATGATAATATAGGGAAGAATGTTGGTAACCAAACAGTTCTGACTTCCATTTTATGGACAAAAAAAAGAAAGCTCTTTCTCAAAACATTTTCGTTTATATTCCACAGAAGAAAGAAAGTCATACAATTTGGGAACAAGGTGTGAGTGAGTAAATGATGAACTATCCCTAACACTAGCTTTTAAAATGACTGTGCTTTTGCCACCAATTTTACACCACAGATATAGAGTGTTTCAACATTTATCTCCCAAATCAAAAGGTCTTTAAACACACCCATGTTCTGGTTAATTTGACACAGTTTTCCAGAAATTCAACAAATTTTGAAATCAAACTAGCTTTTAAATGGACCATTTTTCGAGCCCAAAACATGGGTGCTTTTCCAGTTGACTAGAAATGGTTTTGTGATCTCTAATTATTGGTTGTTGAGGATAAAGACATAATCTGACCCTAATTGTTTTTTGTCAATTAGTCTTGTGCTTCACAATGGTCCATTCTCCCTTTGCATGTCTTCTCTCTGAATCTAGTATTAGTATTAAAATGGCTGCCTATGAAGAGGAAATGCCCTTGGCTAGTGAAATCCCCCCATACATCCTTACACCTACGTCACGTGGTTCATCAGAACCAGTCTGCATAAGGCGCTTTATATTTAAATTGACCAGCTGTGTGTTACATCACCACTCTCTCTGAGAAAAAAGAGAAAGCGAGGAAGAGCATGCTTATGTCACCATGCGAGATGCAGCAGATGATCTGTGGGGGAGGGAGAGACTAAAATCATTTTCTCTCCGGGGGAGGGGCTCGCTCTTTTCCTCACAAGTCATGACATCTCTCTCTTTTAGCAGGAGGCATGTCTCTTTTCCATTACCTGCTTGCTTTGTCACGTGATTCTAGGGCTCTATCTTTCACTCGTTCAGCTGGATTATCCGCCTCCCTCGCTTTGCATCTCTTTCCCCCCTTTGCACTGTCATTCCAACCCTTGTTTTCACTCCATCACTCTAATGCAGTGTGTCAGTGTCTGCCGTTGTTTGGTGTGGAGAGGCTCAAATAATCTCACTCGTACAAATGCATACATACTGTCTCATTCAGTCCCAGCAGAATCCAGCCTATCATGAGTGCACATTTTATAAGACTTTGCAGAAACTAAAGACAATACCAAAGTTATGTAATTTCTTTACAGTGTGTGGTACAGAACCTTTATACTTGATCATGAAGTCTTGTGTGCTTCAGAGGGACAAATCTGCATTTTTGTGTTGTATATGTGATATGTTGATGTGAATCAGCGTGTGTGTTGGAGTAATGAGCGTGTTTTCTGTGTGGTACAGTGTAAAGGAGAATGGTGAGGAAGTGTGTAAGGAGCTAATGGAGGCGTTTGCTGCCTGTGTGAAGAGCAATGCTGAGGCGTCATGAGGAGCTCAACATGCAGGAAAAGTAATGCACATTCACTTGCTTCATTCCCCTTTACATGTCAGGCGAGTATTTTATTTATGTCAGATCAACAGATGCATTATGTACTATTGTTTTCTTTTCTAATGTGAATATGGCTGACTGATCAGTATTTCAGATTAGTTGGGAATGGTCTAATAATTTAGGATGCACAGACCTAAAAAAAAAAAAAAATGTAGATAAAAAAACCAAACAAAAAAAAAAAACACTATTTCCATGTTATGTGTGAGAACCGATAATTGGAATTCAAATGGAAAATATATTTATTTAATATTCTTAATATTATCCGTTGATTGGCTGTTAATTTAACTGTTTAATCTTAAGCACATTCGTACTGCTCTGTTTTATGATTGTCTTCATGATTTTTCATTATCATTTGAAATTTATGATTCTCTGTATTTCTGTTTGTTTTAGGGTTTCACTGCACTGAGTCCTACACCTTCCCAGCATTCCCTGCAGCTCATGGCACTGGACTAAACGATGGGGTTTGGGGTTTGGCAGCAGAGACCATATTTGTGTCTCTTCCCTTCTCTACCCCCCTGTGAAGCTTAAATGGATTCCTCCAACCACCAACCTCTCCTCCCCTTTTGTGGCTGATTGTATTGATCTGATCTGTAGACAGTTTGAGATTTGATGTAAATGATGTGTCTCAGATGCTTTCAAAATGGAATAAAGATTTTAAAAATGGTTCGATATTTGTAACCGAATTTGTTTGACAATGTTTGTTTTCGTTTTTAGGTAAACTCCTTAAAAACAGCTTTCATTAACTTGCTTAGCAGATCCTGTCTTGCCAAAAGTGACTTCTAATGAGTCCCTGTGGTTTTATTTACAAGTCCAAAACTTTAAGGTGGATGCAGTGAAGTGGACTGTAGGCAAGGATTATGTAGGCTTCTGTAATGGGTTTAGGTGAACTAAAGTAGGAGATCAAGCTTTCCAATGTCACTAATACTCTAAACTCCTCACTTTGACTCATTAAGAGGCACACAAATACACCCACTCAAATCCCCAAATGCACTTATCTCATCAGTCAATCAATCAGATCTTATGCTCATTCATGAGCTGATCTATTAGCAAAGCTAGAAGTGTGAAGACTTGTTCTATAACCAAGAATAAAAATCCCCAGGGTATGCTCACACATGCTGGTTTGGTGTCATTTAAACAGTACAAAACAAGAAATTCAAGCTAATTATCAATGCAAAAGTCTTGTCACACCAAATTTACCGCTTGTGTAAGCATATGCATATGCATTTGCATAAGTCTCCATGAATCACTGCTCAAATGTGATCAGATCGTCATTCAACAATCTCAATATCCAACTATTTTTAAACCAATATCAGAGTAGTGGAGTGGGAAATATTGCACAAGGATTTTCCAGACTGAGGTTGGTGATGAACCACTGGGGGTTCATAAGGAAACTGGGGAGTTCATGAGTTGATGAAAAGCTAGTCATTAATTAAATCATAAAAATATAAAATGATAACGTTTTCTAAAGAATAAAATAAAGAATAGGCCTATTTTAGAATAGCTACTTAGAATCAGACTTTTGTTGTTGTTTATCAGAACCATGAACATGACTAACTTATTGAAATATTAACTGAAAAGCTCAGGGGACTCTTAAAGTAAAGTAAATATTTTTGGTCAAAAAGGCTTGGTGAAAAAAGTTTGGGAATCCCTAATCGAGATGATACCGGAATTGTGACGTCAATGTGAAACATGGCAAAAAGTCTGTTGTGAATAGTTATTAATGGGTTTACTTCAATCTTATTTCAGTAATCTTAAAGCGCTGTTTAATAAATAGCTTACAGACAAAAAGCTAATCACTCACCTTTCACGGTTTGCTTTATGCAAGATAGGCTAAATGTCTTCGTTGTTTTCATGCATACAATGAGTAGCCTAATACAAATTAAAATGATTAAACGTGTAAAATGTGAAATCTGAAAAATAAATAAAACTGATTACCTTATTTTTACGACCTAAATGCGTGACTTGTTGTTACACTTATACTTACACCCGGCTTTACCACATTTCCAGCCGACATCCTTCTGCCTCCTCCATGCTGAGGAGAGATTTCGGTTGTCATAAGGCTCCAAGAAAATAAAGGGAGGAGGGTGTGCTCTTGCTTGGAGCCCTGCCAGACAGGTAGGAAGGGGATAACTTTACAAAACGTTACAAAAGGCATGTATGAAGGTCACTGAATGTGTTTGACCTTGAAAACATCACGTGAGGGACGATATGAAAGTGCTGAGTTGAATATCCAGGTGAATCTGCAGGAATCACCTCTGTCTGCTGATCTGTCAGAAAACACACAATTAGAAACCCTGAATTTTGTCAGCAGACGTGTAATCTTGTAATGACTCACTGAACATAACATAGGTACTTTAACGTAATATATGAACAGTTAGTGCCTCACTTGTTGTAAAATAGAGGCTAAGAGCTCAACGAGTCAGACCCGTCTAGAGCAACGCCCCCTGCTGTCTGGACTAAGACTGCCTGATACAGATTGGACTAAAAGATACGCCCAACATTTCGCTATGCCTAATGTTTTTGGGTGAGATTAAGAAATAAAAAACACAACATAAATGCGCATTATATTGTTGGGAGATTTTTCAATTACTTCTTGCCTGCAGAACACACGACCTATGTGTTTGTCTCTACTTCCACCTTGTGTTCAAACATTAAACTGCAGGGATGGCGCTTTAATTGTAGCAATAGAAAGTAGGCAAAAAGTGCATTTCTTTACATTTTCATTTCTTTCCTCTTTTCTGCTCTAGCTTGCTCCCTAATCTAACTTTCTAATAAACCTGACATTGAAAATTGTTGGCTCTCTGACGAATTCTTTCCCTTGCAACAAAGACTCATATAAGATAACATTTGTTTACTTGCAAATGCGCCACAAATCATATTGCACTATACATTTCTTACCCTAAAATACCTCTTTTGCACAATATAATGTGCAGTATTTATGTAAAGTACTTTTATAGTCATAGTCTTAGATTATGTGTATGTACAGTCAACTATTTATATTAGGCCTAGATAGATTACCGCTTTCAGTAAGTAAGCTAGGCTATAGGTTCAAAAAAATGTTTCTAACTTCTAGTATTGTATGTTTATATTTATGTTTAATTATGTAACACCGTGGTCCTGCGAGACATGACATTTTCTGTATGTCCACAAATAAGAGTCTGCTAAATGCAAATGTAAAAGTAAAAATACTGAAAACTACTATGCAAAAACACAACTAGGCCCATCAAAGATGGATATTCCTGCAAGCCTTTGAGTGTTTTTGCTAAAAATGACAATGTAGATAGGACAGCTATAGTCCATAAATATTATGATAACAAATGATCTGAAAATATGTATTATAATATGTACCAGACGGCAACAGTTCAAAGAGGGAGTGTGCTGGATGTGAGGGGTCCAGAGTGATTTTGCCAGCCCTTTTGCTCACTCTGGATGAGTACAGTTCTTGGAGAGAAGGAAGGGTTCAGCTGGCGAAGGAAGTACAACCTCTGCTGGGCCTTTTTAACAATGGACTCAATGTGAATGTCCCACTTCAGATCCTGAGAGATGGTGGAGCCCAGGAATCTGAATGACTCCACTGCAGCCACAGTGCTGTCCATGATGGTTTTAGCAATAAAGTAGGCAAAAAGTGAATTTCTTTACATTTTAATATCTTTTTTCTTGTCTGCTCTAGTTTGTCACCTAATCAAACTTTCTAATAAACCTGACATTGAAAATTGATAGATCTCTGACGAATTCTGTTCCTGTAAGTCACTTTGGTTACAGTTTTTTTTTTAACTGCTTACACACAAAATCTTTACTTGTCACACAGTTTCTGAAACCTGACACACCAAATCTGCAAAACCATACACTAATTCTCAGCCTTTTACTCAGTTTTCAATTTCATAAAACACTTTTTGCAAAACACAACATACATTTAATACTCAAAAATCTAACATGAATTACAGTTTTTTAAACGGCTTACATACATTTTCAAAACTTTGCCTCTTTTTTTTTTAAACTTTACACACAAATCCAAGAATTGCACACACAAAATGCAAAATGTCTCACATCTCTTGCTAAATGAAGCACTGCATTCAAAATATCACAAACACATCTCAAAAGCAAACATTTGCAAACACCTTTGCCATAATAGTAATTCCTATTAGATTTTGTGTGTTACATAGAGAATTGTGTGTTGTGTTTTGCAAAAAGTGTTTTATGAAATTGAAAACTGAGTCAAAGGCCGAGAATTAGTGTATGGTTTTGCAGATTTGTTGTGTGGTTCTGCTGTTTGAGTGCCAGGTTTCAGAAAGTGTGTGACAAGTAAAGATTTTGTGTGTAAGCAGTTGAAAAAAAACGTAATATGATGGCAAATGTGTTTGCAAATGTTTGCTTTTGAGATGTGTTTGTAATATTTTGAATGCAGTGCTTCATTTTGCAAGAGATGTGAGGCACTCTGCATTTTGTGTGTACAATTCTTGTATTTGTGTGTAAAGTTTTGAAAATGTGTGTAAACAGCTGAAAAAAACTGTTAAAGTCTGCTAAATGCATACATGAAAATGTAAAAAGACTGAAAACTACTATGCAAAAAAACCCCAACTAGGCCCATCAAAGATGGTTATTCCTGCAAGCCTGTCATGTTTTTTTAAACGACAATAAAGTATGGGACAGCTAGTCCATAAATAGCCTATTATGATAACAAATGATCTGAAAATATGTACAGTATTTATCAAAAAATTGACAGATGCTGCCCAATGACAATAATGGGTTCAATAATAATGTGAGGGGCGGAAGTGGGGTGGGGGGCTATGACGAGCATGTTCAGTGGGAATCGTGTGAGGGAGGGGACGCAAGCAGCGCAGAACCCGGATGCTGATGATGCTCGTGTCGGATGGAGAGAAGCAATACAGGGAGAGTGAGAGCTAAAACACAGAGAAAGGCCCCACTGACAGAGGGACTGCTATCCTCGCGGCCACAAGTCAAGGGAAGCGAACGGATTAAAGCCAGGCGGCTCGAGAGGATGACTCCGCGCGCGGTATCCGAGGCGACGGGAGGAGAGCGCGAGGAGATGCTGTGATGCGCTGCACATAGCCAGCGCGAGCGAGCGAGCGAGCGCGAGGGAGGGGACAGGAGACGGAGAGGAGGCTCCTACGCTAGTTAAACATGCTCGCTTTTTGACCAGGAATGTGTTCCGCGCGAGTAAAGCCTGGGATTTCTGCGCAAACACTATAGCTTGCAATAGCGCAATGCACTCGACAGGAGACGGAGAGGAGGCTCCTACGCTAGTTAAACATGCTCGCTTTTTGACCAGGAATGTGTTCCGCGCGAGGAAAAACTGGGATTTCTGCGCAAACACTATAGCGCAATGCACTCTTGGATTAATTGGATTAATTGACGGATACATGTGACGGAAGACACCGAGGCTTTCTTTCGCGAAAGGGTGGCCCGTACAGTTCTCCCATATTTCCGGATGTGAGGCCTGGAAGATACCGTAGTTTATATCAGGCACGGGACGCTCATCCTTCACATCCAAACATTTATCAAAACAAAGCGAAACACTTTGAAGAGTCAGTGACAAAAGAAAGAGACACTTAGAATAATACGCGTAAGGTGTCACAATCCGGATGTGCGGTTCTTTCGCAGAATAAATGTGGCCAAGTTTTTAATTAATAAATAGGCCTAGGTCACTTGCAGTTTGACAATAACTGGAGGCTACATGAATATTTATTTTAAAGATAAAAGACCGGCGAAAATAAACTGATGACCGAACCAGGCTACCTAATACTCCTGTTATCTTTATCTGTCTTCAGCATTCATAATCATTATACTGTCGTTCGCAGCTATTATCTGATCTAGTCATATAGTATCTTCCCATATACTGACAGATTTAATCGTGTCCCCTCATCATTCTTCCAGCAGCAGCTGCAACCACAGGCCGTGTAAGTCGCAATAACAGCTACAGTTTGGCGTATAGGCTCGGCTGGACAAGCATTTCTCTGTGCACTTTTGATATTTTCTAACGGAACATGTTACTGATCCGTTTCCACGAAGTTTAAGGAGACGCGGCAGATGTTTGGGAGTAGGCTACGGCACTGACAGCACGCCTCAGCATCCCTGTGTCATCGCTCACTGTCTGTGATGTCTGTGCGGCGGAGCTATTGCGTGAGCAGGACAGACGCCAGTGGATACATTGTGAGAATACACTGATTACCCCCTTTATATTGTGACACAAAACCGCGTTCGAACGAAATGTCCAGTAAGGAGTTGTCGGGCAGTCAGGCAGCTCAGTACGTCGGGCCCTACCGACTGGAGAAGACGCTGGGGAAGGGCCAGACAGGTAAGAGCATTTCCTCTTTGGTTAATGCATTAGCATAAATTCTGCTCTACTTCGCGCCGTCTCATTAAAGAATGAATCTATTGAAAGGTTGGTTCGGCAATAAGCAAAGCGGTTAATGTGGGTGCTTCAGCTGATGAAATGTAATGAAGCACGCAGGCAAGTGACAGTGTAAGGGCAGTGTTTGAGGGAGGAAGATTATTTAATCTTTCTGGCGTTTTGTTATTGAGTCATG